GGTTGTATCGTAGTTATTTCAAATTCTCCATTGATGCAATTGGTAATTTTTCTTGGGTACAATACACCATCATATTCAATTTCATACCAATAATTATGTTTAATATTGGATAATGGTTGAAGAGGTATTTTGCTATCAGAAGATAACAAAAATCCTTCAGGTTTTTTATTTTCAACTTTAATACAGTGGTATTTTTTGATACCTTGTAATAATGGTGAATTGTCCCAAACCTATTGCATATTAAGTGCTGAATTTCTTTCATTGATATTTGCTTCAGTAATTTCCTGAACATGAATGTTGGCTCCAGCCATTTTAGCAGTTTGTAGTAAATCTGCAGCATTCATTACTAAACATTTAAGTTTTTTCATTTGATTAAGCACTTCTTTCAAATTTCCTCCTTGTTGGTGCCATAATTATATATATATATGAGTGTATAATAAAAATCCCTTGACCCCAAAGTTGCTGATGACGTAATTAAAAAACTACCCATAAAAACAATAAATATACACTAGTTAATTATATTCAGAGGTAGTAAATAATCATATATGGGTGTTTATATATATAAAAACACCCCGTTGACCCAAAAAATAAAATTAGTATACATTAAATTGTCATTAAGAATACTTATCAAGCAACACTAGCTGTGACTCACATTACATGTGACTCACGTTACAAAATAAGATGCCTTTGTTTCCAAATAAATTATCGAAAAAAGATAAAATTGTCCTATCTATTTTTTTAGTACTATAAATAAGTAGGAGAAACGATAACAATTTTTTAAAATTTACAGCTATAAAAAGTTAAACATTGACAAAAATGAACTTTTTTGTGACTCACGTTACAAAAAAATTGTTGACTATAAAAGTTAACCTCTCTCATTTATTTTGAATGCAAATTCTAAAATAATATTTTTATATTTGTTTTTTAGCATAAATCTATCAAAAAATATAATTATTCAGTAGAAACATGCTAAAACTTAGTAAAATACATATGTTTTTCAATTAATTGATTCAAAGCTCTGAAAAATTCATCAGAACATGTGCTCTTGAAACAAGTCTTCATGTGAAATGAAAATAGTTAACTAGGCGTTGCCAGATTCTAATTTGTAAACTTCAATCTATATACAACACATACAAAATAAAGTTGAGTGGTTTCTTTTAATTTTTTTTTACACTTTATTTCCAATGTTATGTGGAATTGCCCTGAAGTAGATGTTCGAGTATTATATATAGAGTAAAGGAAATGAAATATCTGACGACAATTTAAGAAATACCAAAAATATATGAATTTTATTTGCCAATCGGCCAATGTAAAAATTGAACTACTCATAAAATACTTTAAATTTCTATTTTTGCGATTGTTCTTGCAAATTATAAATCTTTCGAAGCATTTCTAAATGATTAATATTTTATCAAAGAATTGCACTTCTCGAACTTTTGCAGTATTTACCAAGAAATAAATTATAGAACACCATCACCCGCTTGAGGAAATGCTCTTCTTAAATCGAAATTTACTTTTTTTGAACTTTAGTCGAAATTCTAGAACATTATCCCTGCAATTAATATTAAATGGGAAAGTCCTTTTCGCAATTTGAAATATGCTTTTTCGAAACTTAAATTAATTATCAGGACGATTGATTTCGCTTAGTCATGACAGTACTTTCCTTAAAATTATTTCGTTAAGTTCCATTATGGAACTTTAGATTTCAGAAGTCCTATTTCGGTGTATTTCGGAAAGTATAAAGTTCCACGAGGGAAAAAAATAATAGGTTTCAAAAGTTATGGCAGTCTAAAAGTTTCAATTAAATTTCTGTATGAACTGAAAGATATGCAGTTTAAATACTAACAATAATTTTTGAAACAATAGTTGAAGTGTTATTCTGGAAAAATTTAAAAGCTTTTAGCTAAATTGTGAACGATAAACGCTTTGAACGATTCTTAGAAAACTTAAAATACTGGATAGTAGAATTATTTATATACTAGCTGTTACCCGCGACTTCGTGCACGAAGAATTTGAATTGCTATTTTTTTTAAATTCACGAATGTAAATGTTTCGTTATATATAGAAAGGGGAAATCAAAAGTTCTGACGGTTGATAATACATAATTGGACGACTAATTTAATTCTCCGTTATTGTAAATTACATCATTGTACTCAATGGTATCATCTGCTCTTTGGAATATATCATCCACCATGCTATATGTCATCTGCTTCTACTGTTTAAAAGAATACATAAGACAAAATATACCTTCCTATTCTAAAAACTCTGACAACCATATCATATACGTCAATGGACGATCATGGTTTGTTTATTTTGGATTCATAGACCGTTTTCCGGTAACCTTCCGATTTAAGCAATCGCCAAATCTATTTGGCAACTGTATCAAGCGCCAAGCTCGAATTAGTTCTTTCTTTAGTAAACAAAACGTTGAATTCCGTGTTCTTTGGGTTTGTGTAATACTTTATATTTAAATCGGTTAGAAACAGCTCTTAAAGCATTAAAATTCGAAACGGAACTATTGTAATTAGCTAAATCGTTTGGTTACAAATTTAACCGCCAAAAAAATCTTGGATGTCGTTGAAAAGAGCAATAAAGAATAATTTTGGCAACCTTTCCACTAAATTAGGCTCTTATTTTAAGTAAAAATTGAACGATATTTTCATTTAGTTATACTTAACTTTAGTTTTTAAATTTTAATCTAAAAACTCTTGGAACTATATCATATCTACCATTAGATTTCTGTCCCGGCGTTTATTTTTCAGTTATTATTCCAGAAATTATTTCTTTTCTCAGCAAGATCACGTGATGCATGACTTTAAAAATAAATTCTTCCACTGCTTGCGCTTTTCTGAAGGATCACGTGACATTTCATTTTGTTTACGCATTCCTTAAGGATCACGTGACAGTTGATTGAAAAATAAAGTAGTAATCTTCATCGCAAATATCTTGTTAATTATTTGTTATCTGTAATAAAAAATAATGAATTTAACATGATGTCACCTATCCAATGTCCATTCCTAACAGACAGACACACTTTCGCATTTATTATATTATATGGATATTTATAAAAATAAGCAAAATTTTCAGAAATAAAGGTGAATTAGTTCAAAGTCTAACCGTTGCCTAGCAACGGAGTAGCTATAAATCTTCGTTATTTCAAAATCGTCTGCATGCATTAAAAAATTTTGGAACTTTTAAAAATTAATAACAATCAAAGGGAAAATGTCAGAGAAATAAAATTGGTATCACTGAAAAGATAAAAATTTGAACTTTAATATGGTATAAAATATATTTTGTCGGACAGTTTGCTCCGAAGTTACGGCGGAAAAACAGTTTTGGTTAATTTGTAATTAACTGCCTGCTTAATTAACTTTTGGACTTAGAAAAGTTTATAAGTGTCTTCCCCTTGTCTTAAATAATAAGTGTACAAAATTTGGTTGAAAACCGTCTATTGGTTTAGGAGGAGATGTGGAACATAGCCACATACACACAATGACTTTTATTTATATTAAGATTGCAATTAATATCGTTGCAGGAAAATTTGAACACTAAGGAACATTAATTTTCATTTTTAATCATCATTATCAATTAATAATTCTTATATTTAAAACGAAGAAGAATTGCCGAAAAAATGAGACAAATTAAAATTTTTACTATGTTTTCGGTCAACATGATGTTTCAGAACATATATCTACTTCTAATTCTATGTAGTATTTGAAAGAAGCTCTAGCAAATATAGCTTTGTTAGAATTTAATTTATTTGTGAGACATATCAAATAAAAGTATTTGGAAATTGCGATGCTTTAATTTGTTGGAAATGAAACTGCTATATGAAGTTAAAATATTGTATTTATTAGAAGGATTAATATAAGAAGGATTTATATAGGTTCTACATATAATTTGTAATTAACGAATGTAAATATTTATGACTTCGCGGGGCAGTAATATTGTATTTATTACTGCCTCACGAAATCATAAATATTTACATTCGTTAATTACAAATTATATGTAGAACCTATATAAATCCTTCTTCTTAATTCAAAATATGTATATATGATTAATTACGAATTTATGATATATTATTTTTTGAGCTGGTATGATAGTAATATTTGCAATCCTAATACCATCTTAAATTTTTGTTTTAATTCTTTCTATCAATATAAATTAATCTGGTTATATGAATTTGAGATAATATTTCTCAATAATAGAACTTGCAATCTTGATCTAATCATAAATTAATGTTCTGATCTTTTCTGTCATCATTAATTCACCCCGTTCTCCAAATAAGTGGTGTAAATCATCAATAGTTTTAAATACTAGTAATAATGTGTAATTTTTAATAGTAGAGTCACAAAATCACAGTCTCTCGCATTCTCAATAAATGCTGTGGAATTTGTATACTTACTCTTTTTCAATTCCTACCATTAGTTCACACTCTCCCTATATATTGTGGCGTAGTGAGAACTGTATCAAGTTAGAGCACGATCTACTTCTTCGAACCCGATCTTCGAACTTCTATTATAATTTGCATTTTTAGTTGTTCTGTTTTGTTTTAGTTCTGTTCTACGATATGGCAACAGTCTTTTGTCATTGATATATATATTGTTGTTCTTGTGAAATAAATTGCCTCAAATCCTTTCTTATAATTTCTTTTATTGCGTTATCTTTTATTTTAGCAAAGCGTTAGAGTTTAGCGTTTTGTAAAAATGTTTATGGTCGGAGGATATACTACTAATTGGAGTCAGGAAACTTCTACATTCATCCGCGGCCATAATATATTTATTTATATATCTTGTTCAAATTTTCAATCGTTAATAAAATACTTTTCATTCATCCACTCAAGTTCAAATACATTTTTTAAAACTTGTAGTGGATGACACTTGATGTTAATACAGTTTTTTCAAATATTAATTCATTAATTAAATTGAATTAATTAATTTTATTTATTAGAGACTCGCACAGGCTACGATCATAGTGTAGGGATAAGAGATGCGGAACGGGACTCGTTGGCGCAACGGTAGCGCGTCTGACTAAGGATCAGAAGGCTGCGTGTTCAAATCACGTCCGGGTCAAGCGATTTACTCAAGACATATCATTTTTGCACTTAATTTATATTCTGAAAAATATCTCTTGTTGGCAATTGCATCCAAAAATGTTTAGTTCCCCGTTTGAATGGATAAACTCAGGTCTATTTCTCAATTCCTACTATTAGTTCACACTCTCCCTATATATATATATTTATTTATATATCTTGTTCAAATTTTGCAATCGATTTTAAACTAACTCTCTAACTTAACACACTCTCTCTATATATTTTAATTCCTACTATTAGTTCACAATCTCCCTGTATATATTTATATATCTTGTTCAAATTTTCAATCTTTAATAAAATACTTTTTATTCATCCACTCAAGTTCAAATACATTTTTTAAAACTTGTAGTGGATGACACTTGATGTTAATACAGTTTTTCATATATTAATTCATTAATTAAATTTAATTAATTAATTTTAGTTTTGTATGGGAGAAAAAAAATTCTAAAATAAAATTTTTCTTTGTTGACCTAAGTAGGAATTGACTTAAAATTTTTTTTATATTACTTATTTCATCCTTATTTCATTCATTCATCACCCAGAACAGCTAACTGAACCTTTTGGTTTTAAGCTTTGCATTGACGACCACATTGTTCTACTCCATTTGTGCCAACAACTGATTTGAATTCCACTCATTCAAGTCGATAGATTTAGGCGAGTCATTCGCAGATGCTCCAAAGCACACTACCGCCGCTTTGATCCCCCCCTTACTCCTCCTCCCACCAGACTGACTCTCACCCACAATCCCCCCCCCCCCCACAAGGGGTTCGGCGTTTTAGAGAGCACCCTCCCTCCCCGCCCTGATTTCTCCTGTCTAACCGCAACTCCCAGGCACTTTCAATCTGTCCAACGCTCCCACCACACACGGGTGATTTATCGCCCGCCTCGTATAATCATATTTCACTTTTATGGCCGAACGGGATGAATGGAAATCCAATCTGGTTGGAATTCCAATTTCGCAGTCTGGTTACTCCAATTTTCATCGGGATTTCACTTGACGAATGGATTTGGCAATCATGTGTTCCAAAAAAAGCTGAGTGGAACAGGAGTGAATGTCCCTCTTTAGAGTGTAGATTGACTTTTTTGGAGGGGAGTATTCCAGCAGACACATAGACATGGTGAAATTGGAGAACAAAATTTACTTCAAATATTTCAAGACCACAATAGACCTGCAACAGTAACAAGATAAGAAGGCTTGAAACCTTTAAATTGTTAATATCTAAACGATGCTAGTTTAAAATATACAAAAGAGATTATTGAATTAAAATTAAAGCCCACACGCAAGAATGAATGGGAATTGTTGCATCTGCGTGCTAGCTAGCAAAAAAAGGCAATTATATAGTAGTATTGTAATTGGTTATAACAAAAATATATCATGAAAATTAGTTGTATATATAAAATAATATGGTGATAACTATAGCTTACTGTGTACTTATAACGTTCTTAAAAAAATTACGAAAATATCGCTTGCCCTGATTCATTGAGACCTGTTCCTTTCCCTTTTGGAATTTTTTATGGTTGATTTTAGTGTAAAATGTCTTCTTTTAGTATTTTTATAAATATTAAGGTGAAATTTTGAAAAAAAATCGCTAATTATTTTAAGTTAATAACATTAACATGAAGAATCGATTGATTACAAAGTTTTTGATGTTAGTTTGCATCGACAGAAAAAGCATCGATTGGAACAGAACAAGTAAAAGTTAAAAATATATATATATAAAAATCTGAAAAGACTTAAAAAGGAAGGGAAAAAAGAATCGAAACGATTACCTACCTTATAAATTGAATATTTAGAAGATTTCAATATTTTTTCTACTTTCTAAACCAGAAAGTAAGATTTCAAAGTTAAAATCAGTTCATTTAATTTGAGGATTGTTTAAAGAGTTGATGTATTAATATTAATTTGATCTGAGGGAAAATAATTTTTTTAGTTGACCAATTTTAAATATTTTGTTCTTGGATTTTTACAAAACTTTTAGAACAGAAATGAATAAAGCGAGAGAGAGAAAACTTATTTAAAATATTTGGAACTTTTGTAAGAATCGACCGTTTGGATCGGGAGAGTCTGAAAACACTGAAGAAAAAGGTTTCCATTTCTTAATCTATTCAATTCTACAAATATAAAATCAATCATGTTATTTAATCATTTATTATTCTTTTTGCACCATTTTGTTGATTGAACTCTGTTCTTTTTATTTGAGTCAATCTTTGTTTGTAAGTCACTTAACATTCTTGCAAAATAAAATGTTTCCAAACTCGCAAACTAATTTATGAGAAGTGTCCGGAATTCTGTTTTCCGTTCTTTGGAATATATATTTATATTTATTTAATCCGAAAAGATTCTTCGAAGGTTCTTAAAAATAATAAAGAAAAGAGTTTTTGTTATTTGATAAAAAAAAAAAACATGAGTTTTTTTTTAGCTTATAATTTTTCTCGCATAGGGAATCAAATTTTGTCTTGTTTTCTACTGAAAACAAAAGAATTTTCGAATATCGTTTGGCTTTGCTTATGGCAGGTAATTATATTATTTGTGAATGCGATAATGATATTTCATTGAAATAAACAATTCCAGTTTTTTGAAAATAGGGTTTAGTTTATTTTCATTTAAAAATTCCCCTGTTAAATGCTTTTGTTTTATGAAATAATTTAATATATTGTTCAAAGAATATAGTCTCGAAGAGAATCAAAATTGGGGAAACATCAATTGAAGAATAAGTGAAATTTCATGATTTGATTTAATAAGAACATATCTTTAGTATCTGGGGAAATAATTGTCTTTTCCTGTTCATTTGTTGTAAAACAATAAAATGCTTTATATAATTAATAGTCATATTTAGAAACATTTAAAGTATCAAGACATAGAGCATGTATTCTCAACCATAACATTCATATATTTTTTGGTGCAGCGCAAACAATGAATTCATTATCCCTAGACAATTCTGAAAAATTAAATAAATAAAAATAATTAGTCTTTTGCTTTAAATTAAAAATATAAAACTTTAACGTAAATGTTAAAAATAAAACTGAATTAAATTAAGTTAGCTTTATGTGGTGGTTTATTTTTACTAACATAGAAGCTATTTTGATTAGTTATTTTTCTTTAAACTGTTCAGGTGAAAAACAGAGTTTAAATAAGGGGTTCTTTTTCGTGCACATTCATTTAATTTTTTGGCCACGTTTTTCGATTTTAAAACATTTGTGAAATAACTGTATGCATCAGTTATTATAGTGCCTCTGTCAACGATTCAGTTTGAATGCTGACTTTTCAAAAGGTTTAAATTCTAAGTAATTTATTTAAAAATACCTTTTCCAGTGCCAAAATAAATACAAATATTAAAAAAAGGGGAATAAAAAAGTGGAAGGGTAAAAAATAATAGTAGACAACGAGAAGAAGTAAGAATCTTGTGAATGACTTCATCAGAGGCCAGACATTCATGCAGATTCAAAAGTGGAATAGGTTTTCTGTAGAGGAAAAAGACTTTAAGGTCTGAATTTAATATCCTCTTTTGGCCTGAACCTACACCGGAATGTATTTTCCTAGTGCTAAGATGTTTGTTATAAAATTAATTGTGGTAAAATTTTTCACTCAAACTATAACTTAAATAATGCAGCATCATTTGTCCGCAGTGCATCATGATCATATAGCAAAAGTAACTGTGCATGTCATCTAACGTATAATTACGCATTCTCTTATGCTCCGCAGTGACGTCACATCCTGTTTCCTCCTGCAAGGTGTAAAGTGTGTTCCAAAATAAAATTGGCCCAGCTCATTTGATGCGTATTATTGTTAGCAATGGATTCGGAAATCCTCCACGCTTTTGCGCATGCGCCGGGCGGAATTATTTTCATCAAAAGGGGGAAGTAAAGAATGGAAGGGTGATGTTTACATTTTACTGAGCGTGATCTAACAAAGAACTCCGGAAATGCGCTCATATGACATTGCCTGACACACCTTTCCGGTGTAAAATCGTCCAAAAGTGGTAGTCTCAGGATCCGTTGCTGAACAGTATTTGAACTTGTATTGATCTATCCTATTAAAATGCAATGGTAAACAAACATATGTATCAATGTCCTTCTATCTTCTCACGAACCACTGAATCCCGAAACTAGCCGTAATTACCAAAAGATGGAAAATAATCCAAGGAATCCATATCGACTATTTAAATTTCGAAATTATAATTAGTTAAAAAGATATTAATTAAAAACGTCAAAATGAATGAATTGACGTGCTGCCATCTGTTGGCAGCACGGTGAATTCATTCACGCCGGATTATTTTTTCCCCTATTATTAGTTTTCGCATCCGGTGTTGCATTTTTTATTTACTTAACGGAAGTTGGTATTTCTTTTTGAGCTAAGTTGTGTGTTTGGATTTATTAACAATGGAAAAAAATCGTTTTCATGCTTTTTTTCTTCCTTTTTTTGCATTAGAGTGCTTAACTTCGTAACATTTGTTATGGAAAGTAAGTGACAATATTTGTTGATTAAAGAGAAAAAAGGAGGCGCGGCATTTGAAAATATATGGATCCCAAGGTCTCACATGACCTCGCTTCTCTCCGCCCGGGAATATCCTATTATTCGTGATACCCCGTGCAACGCCGGGCCACACAGCTAGTTTTAGTATTGATTGGTCTTTTTAACATGAAATCGTTGTGGAAGGAAAGAAATTATGAGCACAATGATTTATATTCACTTTTGGGAATGTAAAAATAATTCCCCCTAAATTGCCAATTCAATAGTTTTTCCTGATATAAATTGTTAATCTTCTGTAAATCACATGGAAGAACACTAAAAAGGAGTTTAAAAACAGAATTGTGTTAATGTGTTCTGGCAACAATTCTTCGTCTGTATTCTTGTTTGTGATGGATTTAATGTCGATACATTTGTGTATAAAATTAATTTTGAAAAGCTATCAAAATTTGAGAAAAAAATTGCACGGAGATAAGATTGGTGTCAACGACAAGCTAATTTTTTAACCTTTA